ATGCTGTTAATGGGTCTGGCTGACCCAATGTTGTGATTAATTAAAAAGAAAATGAAACCCAAAAAAACAAACAAAGGCAAAAATATATAAATAATGGGAGAAGATTAAGCATCTTGGAAATCTCAAATTGAATGGCTTTTCCAGGGCCGAACTCACCATTTAACCCTAGAGGTTTGTTTGTTCAAACAGACAGACAAAACAGAGATGGCCATAGTGGACAGCCAAATAATCCCTTTTCTGAATTTCCAGAATCCTGGTGAACAACAATACAGAAAATAAAGTCAGCATTTTATATTCCAAAGGGGCAAGAGCAGAGAGAGCTGTTGGAAACACATAAGCAGTTTGTATCACAGTATGCAAATAAATTCTGGAAGGAGATTAAATATGCAATAAACTAATGAAAGAATTCTGTTATACTTGCCCTTCTGAATTTTGACTTTCATTTCAAGGACAGTATGAAAAACAACTCATGACCAATAGTGAACTTTGACCCTTCAACTTGCGATTATTCAAACTAAGATGAAGATAATGTTGGCAAATAGAAACAGGATTGGCTGCCCTAGAGACAAGCAGATCTGATCCTAAATAGCTGAAAAATCACCAGCATCTTCAGCATAATGCCCTAAAATAAGGTCATGTGCCCCCTTCCATGCAATGCGTAGCTTCTTCTTATTGGTGGTTGTTATTAGCATCAGTGTTCTTCTAGTCATTTAAGATAGCAATGTGACAGTTTTTATTTTTGAATTCCCATTTGATCCTCCATAGAGTCCTGTTGTCCCAGCTGTTCTGTTTGAGTCTCACTCATATCAGATTAGAGTCTTATTATTTTTTCCTGAGCCTTTGTAATTACCTCTTATTAGTGTCCCCACCTCTTTCTCTCCAGACCTCAACTCATCCTTCATTCTGCTGTCAGAATTGTTTCCAAGACAGAAATGTGGCCATGCTACTCTCTGATTTGACATCAGTTAGTACAAAGTATCAATGAAAACTAAGTTCAATTTTCTTAGCATGATTTTCAAGGTCTTAACAAATGGGTTTTCTTCCCAGACACATCTCTCACGGTATGTCTCCACTCAAAATCACACCTGACTGCTTGTCACATGCGAAATAGACTATTCACCTAAGTAACAAGATCCAAATCCAGCATCATCTTACCCACATCTCCTCTGTTGCCACCAGTCCTGATAATGATAACTAGTGCATGATAGGGCCTTTTTAAACAGCAGACTCTAGTCTAAGCTATCTTATGGATGCTATTCTGTTAAACGTTGTCAACCCTCCATTATAAAAGCTGATTCTGCATCTTTCTAATTGAGTGAGTCTGAGAAAAATCACAAAACCTCTCTGGACTTCAGTGTCCCAGTCTGCAAAATGGGAACACCAGTCCCTAATTTCATGGTGACTATGAGGATGGTTGAACTAATGGATTCAAGTCATTGTCTCATGTAAAGTAGCCATTTTAGTGTCCAAAACATGGAAGGGGCTCAAGAAATGAAAGTTGAATTTTATATCCAAATTTCCTCCCTTTCCTACTCTCTCCCCATAACTACTGATTTGGAAAAATTTTTAAACTGAAACTTAATTCTGAAAGTGTAGCTTTGTGAAAGTACCCTCACTCAAAATCAGTTTGTAATGAGAGTACAGGGACTTTTTAAATTGGAATTTGGGATTCAAAGAATTAAGAGTTCAAGATTTTCAAAAGTTAAAAAGAAAGCCATGTCACTACCACCCCAGAAAAGATTTGGACTATCAAAGAAATTTTGAGTCCTTTAAATTAAATGAAAGAAAGTCTACTCAATGCATTTAATTTTTATTTTATGAAGGGTGCTGTGTCTTGTTCATCAAAAGAATAATGTGCCTTGTAAGAATGTAAGGACGATTGGGGAGAATCAGGCATTTAAACTAGGATTGTACCGCTTGAGGCTTGCTGATAGGGCATCACCCCAATTTAAGGAAAGTATGGATGAGTTTCCTGACTCAGAGAATTTTTGTCATTCAAAATGAGGGAAATATCTTTCTTTAAAAGTGGAATAGTCCCAACATAGAGCCCAACAAACCCAGGACTTTTCATTTATGGCTTTTCTGCCATGATTTCCAGTGCCCTCTCCCTGGAACCTGAGACTGAATTGAACTGTAAACAATCCTTTAACAACGGGCATAAGGAGTGGAGAATTGGATACACAGGAAATTGAAATGCAAGAAAGTCTAATCTTGTTTTAAGAAAATATTGGAAGAGTAGAACTGTGTAGTTGTGTGTTGGGGACACCATGTTGATGTTTTCTTAGTGGTCAGCTTTTTTTCTTTCTTTCTCTAACAATGCAGATGATAGCAATTTACAAAATATTGTCCAGTTTGATTCTGTATTAGGGAGTATGTTTGTCTCATGGAGAAAGAAAATAACAATTTACTCTTACTCCCGAGGAAAGCTTATGTGCAGAAGAGGTGTTATCCTCTAGGTGGTGGCCACCAGCAACAGTTCTTGCTTGGGGTTCTTCATTTCGCTTTCAAGGCAATAAGTCTCAGGGTCTAGGAGGGAGTTTAACATGGAATGAAAATAATATGCATTCTCTTTAGCATTTGCCTGTGAACACAAAAGCCCACTTAGGAACCACAAAGAAGTTTCAAATGAACCAGCAGCAAATGAATATATTAAACATATGAATATATTAAATACTAACAATGATGAGTATATTAAATACTAATGATAATCTATCATTATTGCACAAATATATAATATATATTATATATAAATATAACACAAATATGTTATATATATAAATATAACACAAATCCTAAAATAACAAAAATATCCAAGGTCACATCATACTTCGTAACTGCAATTGGCAGAGTTCAAAGCCCTACTTTGAATTTAGGAGGCAGAACAACCATATCTTGGAAAATCTAAGAAATTTGAATATGGATTCTATATTAGATCTATTACAAAATTACTAATTTTATTAGATTTAATAATGTATAATAAAGTGGTTTTACAAGAAAACTCCACTTTTTAAACAGAGATAGTTGCTGCCAGTTGCAAAGGGCTAAAAGATATGATGCTTGATACTTATTTTAAAGAAAATTTAAGGGAAAAAAGGTATTATGCAAGATTTTGATAAGTATTGAACCTGGGAAATAGGTGAATGGAGGCCCCTTATAATATTTTCTCAATTTTTGTGAAAGTTTGAAAAATTTTATAAGACATTCCGCTTTGCTACTTCCTGTCCAGTGACCTTGGGCAGAGCATTTAAAAGAAGTAATTAGAGTGTTCCTCCCTCAGAGGTGTGTTGTATGGGTTGAAGGCATCCTGTGGACTGAGAGCTTAGAGAGGCATGAACATGCAATAATGATGGATTATCGTTAGTATTTAATATATCCATGAGGTCAGGAAAGATTTTTCCTACCATTTGCTGCTGGTTCATTTGAGCCTTTTTTGTGATTCCTGAGTTGGCCTTTGTGTAATGAAAAATGAAACTGTACACAGGCAAATGCTAACGCGAATGCATAATTCTAATTGAATGCTACTCCAATGACACATGTGCTTTCAGATGATAGAAGTCACCAAGAACTAGTCATTAAATAATGGGAGTAGGGAGAAAAGAGATTCGGGAAGGAAAATATACCACAAACAATGTTCGCTGGTTAACACACTTTATATTTAACAAAATAATTTTTTAATAATATATTCTTTTACACATCAAATATTGTTGCTAGAATCCCCTTTTTACAGTTTAGTGTTTAGTTTTTTTTTTTTTCTCACTAGTTTTCAGGCACACCATTTTTCAAAGATTTTAGAAACTGAATCATTTTTAACAGGCATCGACCTACAAACAGGATGTTGATCCCTCATTCGAACATAGCTGTAGTTAAAGCCAAGAACCCAGAGAACAAAAGGCAGAGGAGAAATGGTAATACAGAGGTGACAGTGTGGCTGCAAACGAAGCCTTCAAAGGAAAAAAAAAATCAAATCAAAACAAAACAAAACAACCAGACCAGAACTATGTTGTTCAGAGTTTGGAAAGAATTTCTCAATGACCTGGGTAGAAGGAAGTTGTAAAATGATGGTTGGTTTAGGAGAAATTCTGTCACAGTATAGGTTCATCACTCTCCCTAAAGGGGAAAAAATTGTCAGTGCTACAAAGTCTTAAAGGAAGGAGCTTGCAGAGAAGCTGGAAAAGAAAAAAAAAAAAAAAGCTAGAAACCCAACAAGACTCTCTTGGTAACAGAGGCCACCGAGTAGCTGCCTCTTGCAGACCCTCTGATGAGAGTATCTTGATGGATGTTATCCTCCATTCTAGTAAATTCTTGCTGTGACTGTCCCTGTACCAAAACTTTGATGCAAAATGTCTGTACCTCAGCTTCCCAGTTACACTCTCTTTCTGTTTTCTGAAAAGGACATAGTAACTCCTTAATAATAGATAAGGTACTATGCTACATGGCCCTACTAATGATATGTTCTGAGGTTTCAGACCTTTTTCCTGTCATTTATTATGATTATTATTTCTTTCCAAGAGTGTGGATTTTTGAAGCTGGCAACAGGCAACCTCAGGGCAGAGAAAGCTCTATAATACGTCTCTGTCTAGACATGAGCTGAAGTGTGCAATGCCTTTGCTGTTGAGTGGAGGCATAAATCATGCAGAATTGTTCATGAATGATTCATGACTGTCTATATGATGTATCCATGGTGGCAACTGAAAGGCTCCAACCTTGCCGCAAATTGGTGTTCTAAGGGAAGGCGGCCGGATGCTCTTCCTCGGGATGGCACCGGGATTGCTATTTGTATCATAACACAAGAACAGTGTGCATTAAAGTGTCAGGTCCAACTTGTCGACACATTAATTTTGGAAATGACAACTCTTTCTTGATGACAGGAGATGCTTTCAGGGAGGTGAGACTGACAATTTTCAACAAAAAACCAATTGATGAGACTAAAAATATGATTGTCCTGAAGGTGGACCTATGCTGTTAGAATTGTCACTCCTTACAGAGGTGACTGACCCCCCCCCCCCAGGGCTGCTGTTTGTGCATGTCCCAAAGAACTCAAGGGCTTACCCAAGTCACACATACAACCAGAGCAGAAACCACTCCACTGATTATTCTGGACCACTGACTCTCAGCCAGTTAACATTTTGCACCCACCTCACCCCTTTGGGGCCATTAGGCAATGTCTGGAGACATTTGGTTGTCACCACTGGGGGTTGCTACTGGCACCTAGTGGACAGAAGCCAGGTATGCTGCAAAATATCCTAAATATGTATAAGACAGCCCCCACTGACAAATTGTGATCTGGCCCAAAATGTCGATATGACTAAGGATGAGACATCCTGAGCTAGAATATAGCACTCCACGGGAGCCACTGCAAAACCTAGGTTAGAGTGGGAGCAGAAAAAGAAGAACACTGGTAATGAAGACAACCTTGAAGTTTCCTCAAGAACCCTATCAGATCTGCACCAGGGTTTTTAGGACAGGCAAGTGGAATAAGTGACTAACTATGCCATGTGGCCTCAGAATTACAAATTTTGCACTTGGATCGAGGTGACATCAGATACCCTGTATGTTTTATTTATTTATGTATTTTTCTGTTACTATACTAGCAGCATTTCCAGGGCAACCTTGAGACTCTTCGAAGGTTCACTTTAATAGTTCAGTATCTAATATATACATTTTAAAAAATGTTCAACAAATGGAATTATATTGTGCAAGACTCACTCTACCCTAATCTTTAATTTAAATCAGCACTTGAGGTGGAAAAAGTGTCCTGAATCTGTATTTTAGACTTAGGGCTGAGCGGTTTTTTTTTTTTTTTTTTTTCCTGTAACATGGCAAATGTGATCCTGAACCATAAAAACTGCTCATGTGTAATTCTGGCTTTCAGGCACAGCTGAACTAGGAAGTCAGAAAGGTTCAGAAGGGTTCAGATTCACAGTGGGGCTACTCACCCTGGTTCTGGTATTTATATTGCCCAGTGACAGAGTGGGTTTACAGTGTGTTTAGTTACAAACCAAACTCAAATTCAGCATCATGAAAAAGTCTGATGACTAATGCTACCATTTTAAATACCTGTGTCTCTTTGGAGTCTTGAGTCAAGCTCCTGGTGTTCTTTACCTATTCATTTTTTGATTGGCAGTTTCAAGGTTTTGCATATGAAATATGTGGTTTGTAAGAATCAAATTAGGAGCCCCCACATAACGGACAAAATACCAGTTGCCCACCATGTCCAGCAGAGGGTCCGCTGGTGTGCGCACCCCTCTTTTCTTAGCTTACAGGGCATATTATTTACTCCAGGGGTGGGATTGGTTGGATGCTCTTGCATCTTCCTGCTCCCCCTGATGCTTCTTTAATAAACCTTTTTGACACATCTCAAAATTTTCTGTGTAGTCAAATCTGGCCCTTTAGGTTCTAATAGTGGAAAAAAAAATATTCTAAGAGAAATGGCATGGAGGATGTACAGAAGAGTGAAAAATGGAGTAAATCAGGGCCTGGTGAACTGGCAGGTCGAAGGCATCACCAGGGAAGGAGCCTGTGCAAGGCTATTTCTTTCTTTTTGTTCCAGAAATCCAGTCGTCAAGTCACCACCAAGCATTGGTAATTACAAAAGCGGTTTAGATAGCTATATACCATATATATTTTATATAGCAAGAGAAAAAGAGAGAAATTTCCTCTTAGTAAAATATTCACTTTTGTCAACCCTAAAAGGTTTTGCTGGTGACCCTGTTGTAGCTGGCAGGAGTTTGTTGGTTTGTTTTGTTTTGTGTTAAACATGTGCAGTGTAGAAGCCATAGCATTCTCTCCTAAGAACTCGTCATTGGTTGGGAATTTGTCCTACACAGTCTGCTTGCCTTGGCATTCGCGCTTTGAACATTGAGCAGGTTTCCACCAGTCCCCGTTGTGACAGTGACAGATGTTACATTCGTCCACTTTCACTTCAATGCCAGCCGGAATTATTGTAGTTCCTGCAAAGCAGTTTGGACCTGGAACACACACATGCATCGATTAGTTGATTAAATCTGGGAAACTCCCCTTCTCGCTCCCATGCCTCTGTCCCCCAAGAGCAATCCCATCCCCTAAGATATGAACAAAGGGGTCAGACTCTGCTAGCAACTTAACATCAAGGAACTTTCTATGCATCCCTTTGAAACTTTCAGCTTACTGTGTTTTGCACATCGCTCATATTTTCCATGTATATCATGCATTTAAAAAAAAAAGAGTGAGACAATGCTCAAGAATCTTACTGTCTGCTTACTGAGTATGTATGATTTTCTTAATTTAGGTTCTATGGATTAAATTTTACTTAATCTCTGGGGTTTAAAGATTGCCAAAGCATACCCTGAACACACTAGGGGAGTACTGGCATGGTCTGCGGGACTGGATGGTGCCCATGGTTGATTCTCTCCCTTCGTGGGGTGGATGTGAGAAAATAAGCTCACTCGCTCCCCAGATTCAGCACCTCCTGAGCCCAGTTCCTGGAAACCCCAGCTTGTTTCTTGATAACAATGAATAATTCATGACCAGATGATTTATTCATGTCCCCAAACAAGCTTTGTTAAAGGTTCATTTGATTTTTATAAATGGAGTTCCTTTAATCTGCTGGCTATCTTTTTTTCTTCTTCTTCTTCTTCTTCTATTTTTTTAAAAAATGACCCAAATGGTTTGAAAATCAGCAGGAATTTTATTCTATTTTTTCAGGTTCAGAAAAGCTTTACTGCAGAAGTCAACTGTTCATTTCAGGTGCATTTTAAAAAATTCACCAATCTTAGTTTTTCACTTCTTGTCTATATTTTCCCCCCTTTCCCTTATTTATTTAATCACTTTCTTGCATTTTTTTTCTTTTGGCCTTCCCAATGTAGGGATGCTAGTGTTCAATATTAGTTGATAATATTTTCTAAATTCAAATGGAATAAAAATTATTCCCCAAAATACAATGGATTAGAACAGGTGGTACAAATCACTGGTTTAAAAAAAAATTTGGTATAAGTCTTTTAAGTACACATTTGGGTAAAGAGAATCAGCACTGAGTTGTGTCTAGTATCACTGGCTACTTGCCATAGCCACTATAAGGTAGCCTGACAGCATATGTCAATAATCTTGCCCTCCTTTTACTTTCTAACCACTTGATAAGACTGTACAAGACTGTCTTTACCAGCAAATAAATGAAATCGGAGGCTATCTGTAGTTCCAGTTCATTATTGAAGGCTTGCTTTTTTAAAATTTTTTTTCTTTAGTTGAAGTTGGACACAATACCTTTATTTTATTTATTTTTATGTGGTGCTAAGGATCAAACCCAGCATCTTGCACCTGCTAGGCGAGCGCTCTTCCGTCGAGCCACAACCCCAGCCCCATGAAAGCTTGCTTTTATAAAAATAAGAACAATTAAGCTACAACATATATTTCTCAACACATAGCTGTTGCATATGTCATAGCTTTAAATGCCCATTGTTTTAGTGCTCCCAGACCTCAGCTGTGCATACACTGACTTTCCTTCACTGGATGACATGAACAGCTGAGATATGTGCCTGATCATGGAGAAATGGAGAATTGGAGAGACACATTGGGTCAACTCTTGACAATTAAACAACTGGTGAATGATCTGCCTTTACCCCCAAGGGTGTTTCTTGTTCTTATCCTATGGTAAATTCTTGGCATCCTAATTGCTAATTATTTAAGGATAACAATATTAATTCTGTAAATTTGGGGAATTAAATCATTGATAGATTGGATTGCCTTTGAGACGACACCTCTTTGGGAAAATTCAACACCAAACCATGCATGTGTTTTGAACTCAGAACTGAGAGAATATTCAGAGAACTTGGCAGAGTCTTTTCCAGAATGCAGCTGGTTCTCCCATGCCTGATGTTGACAGACTTCTCTCAGCCCACCATTTCTAGGCCAGACCTGGTCTTCCCAAAGTCAAGGTAGCTTTGGAAATGGAACTAGGTATGGCTCCAACCTGTTTGAACCAGTCAGCCTGGAGGATGCATGGACCCCCCTCTCCACCATCCTTTCCAACCAAAACTTTCACCCTAATTGTACACTCTTAACTTTTCCAAATGGGGAAAGCAAACCATGTTATTCTTAATAGTAGTTTTAAAATATAGAAGTCCCTGAATATTACCCAGCAAGAGTTTTCATAGTTTCTTTAGATGATTTGGAAATTGATAGAAGAATCTTAACTTTGTACGTGTGTGCGCGCGCACGTATCCATATGCACGTTTGTATACTGCTGGTGCACAGGAGGCTGCATAGTCTCAAGGGTACAATAAGAGGGAAAGGGTGAGAGGAATTTGTAAAAAGAAGTTTCTTTCAAGTCACTGTGCACATCTTGATGGGATACTGTACTGGAGTTCTGGTGTTCGCCCCTTCTGCACATGTTGGTGCTATGCTATGACCAGTATGTATTGAATTAACCTCTATACATCATTTCTTAAGAGCCATTGGAATTTGTTGCACTTTAAGCCCAAGAAATATTAATTGTTTTGATGGATATAAGAAAGAAAGATGGATGTAAGAAAGAAAGATGCTTCTCATGTGCCAAAACTGACCAAAGGCACTGCCTATAATTAATATGATAAGCTCTCTACTGTCAATCTGATGACTAGAGGTATTTTACAGAATGCTTGCTTGATCTTATTAACTTTAGTACTACAGTGATTTTATTGGTGCCTTTCTGAGAATCTCAGGTATAACTACAGCAAATCTCCAGTTTGCTGTTAATAGTCTTATCCACTTACAAGTAATTTAGATAATTGTCAAGCAGAATGGTGGCACTGTTTAAAAAGTGTTCATGTATTAGGACTTTCTCCTTAATAGTGTGACAGAAAATGCTAATTTGCTTTGAGCTTTTGAGTGTTCTACATGAGTTCCTTACCTAGGAAATATTTCTTTACGTCTCTCGAAAGTCCTCCTTTTATTTGGGGGCTGCTCTCCTTTTGCCATGGTCTATGTGAAGGGATAAGTTGCTTTGAAGAGTGAACTCAATGGCAAAGCAACATATTTTAATGCAGACCACTTGGAGAAGCTCCAGGGGGGAAGCAATGAAAATGATTAAACTGAAGCCTAGCAAATAGGACCTCCGAGGAAAGGTTAAAGGGATTGGAATTATTTAATCTAGAAAGAGAAGACAGAGGAATAACTCAATAACTCTCAGGGAATGAAGGCTTGTTACATGAAGAATGGTGACTAAATGTGTACTCTTTTTTTTCTGGGGCATAAAATAAGAAGAAATGGAGATCCACTGATTCTCAATGAATTGAAAACACACACACACACACACACACACACACACACACACACACTAATTCCTCAGATATCTGAAAGTTGAATGTGGTGATTCCCAACAATGTGGTGAGATCTTCCTTAGAGAGCTTTAAGAATGGAAGAGAGGCCTGGATGTACAGTTTAGTGTACAGCAAGTGTTTGGCATGAGTGAGGTACTGGGTTCAATCCTCAGTACCCAAAACAACAAACAGAACAAAACCATGCAGGAGGTCTATCTGTCTAGTATGGTCTATATTGTCAGCAACTTGAAGGGAGAAACTGAATATCTGTTAGTTCTTATGGTCCAGGACTAATGCTGCGTCTAGCAAATATTAAGCCCTCAGTATGGCTTGTTCAACTGAGTGAAACAGAATGACCTGCCTAGTTACGCATTGGAAACAAATTTATTTTCTGAACCTATAGATCAGACCCTATCTATTCATTAGTTCAGTCTTAGTAACATAGGTATAGAAATATTGATAATCAATGCAAATGCATGGTGATAATTTCTTTAACACTGACTTCATGCTAGGAATTTGTCTCATTTAATATTTACAAAAAAATCATAGAAGGAAGGAACACACTCTTACCTCAGGATAAGAGCCAGGAGGTAGCTTCAATGGGATATGGATTTGAATCTCCGTGACTCATAGGAGGCTTCTAGTTGCCCAGAAAAAGCTTTTGGGAATTCATTGCTGTGTTGCTTTTCACAGATCCTGAGCTTCTAGTCAAAATTAAGAAGTCCAATTCATTTTAGTACTAGGATGCAAACTGAGCTAAGATTGGGATGTGGTTAGAAAGCAGTGAGACTGTTTTATCTATTGAATTGTATGCATTTACTAGTTATATAATGTGTATTCATATGGTCTCCAGGAAACATATTTTAAAACAAACAAAAATTCCCCATGGAGAAGATGCTGTGTGCAGTGAGGTATTCCTTAAGGCAGAGTGAAATTCCCACTGGTACTGGGTACAGACTGTTGTGGTTTAGATATGAGGTATCCCCAAAAAGGTTACTGTGTGAAAAAATGCAAGAAGAGTCAGAGGTGAAATGATTAGATGATGGAGGTTGTAACCCAGTCAGTGGATTAATCCACTGATAGAAATGAACTGGATGATAACCATAGGTAGGTAGTATGTAGCTGGAGGAGATAGATCACTGAGGGCATGCCTTTGAAGTTTTTATGTTGTCCCTGGAGAGCAGAGTTCTGTTTCCTGATTGCCATGTCCTGAGCTACTTTCCTCTGCCCCACCTTCCGTCATGATGTTCTGCCTCACTTGGGCCCAGAGCTATGGAGTCATCCATCTATGGACTGAGACGTCTGAAATCATGAACCCTAAGTAGACTTCAGCTCCTCTAATTGTTCTTGTAAGATCTATTGGTCACAGTGATGAAAAAGCTGACCAAAACACAGACTGACCAAGAACCATAATGAAAGTGGCCTATAAGTTGGGAAACCTGGTTCAAGTCCTGGTTCTTCCAGTTGATTATATATGTGACTTTAGTCAAATGCTTTGTAACTCAAATACAAAAGGTGACCTGGATTGTCTGGTTTGTAGAGAGGATTAAAGTTGGAAATGCAATTTTTCCCCCCTTGGGAGTTGAAGATAGTAGAAAAGAGGGGAAAATGGGAATACTTCTACCCAATAATATTTTTCTTGTGAAACAACGATTTCCCTACTATTTTGTACTCTTCTGAGCATTTAGTTTGCATAT